GCATGCTTGTAGCCCGCACATTTCTGATTGAAATTTCTTCCAGTATTGAGATTAATTTTCGCATTTGTTCTAAAACTCACATTGCTTCAAGCAAAAATTGTTGAAAACAAATCGGTTCAATAATTTTCCGCAAGACTATAGATATAAAGTGGATGATTATTTTACTCGAATTTTTAGGTCTACTAATTGTCGATTCTGATGGAATTCCAATTCGAACAAGTCTGGATAATGAGTGAGTATGAATAAATATCACTTTTAGATTAGTAGTGATTGACAAATTAAATAACATCTTTGATGAGCTGTAGCGTATACGAGCGCAACATTTACACACATTTTAGGATTTTATTTATAGAACAACGCTGCATTATGCTTCGCTAATTAGTCAATTAATAGTGCAAGCAAAACGTTTGGTACGTGAACTAGATCCAAATCAAGAATTAGAACAATTAAGTAAGCCTTGTTGTCTCAAAGCAAAGAAATACATCAATGATCTAATTCTTCTCATTTCTACTATAGGATTACGTTCACTGAAACATGAAATTATTGTTGCCCCAGAAAGCAAATATATTATGATTGTTATACAAACGCCAGAAGCATTATAAAAAGATTTCTGATGTTTATCGTACTTATCTCTATATGATGGTTGTTGTTTTTTTTTGAAATCTGTATAAACGAGTGGATAATTGTTTATTTATTATTAACAAAATTTATTCATTATCTACATTTATCTTTCATTATTTTGTTTGGAAATTTAGCATAATAGAGTATGTGTCTATGATTGAAAGTTGGAGAAATCTGTTTAGTATAATTTTCTCGTTTTATGAAAATGATAATAGTGAGACTATCAACAAGATTAACCACAAATATTTAAATTAGATACGTTAAGTTTTAAAACGTCTATACCAGAACAGAACAGAACGTTTATCATGATAAAATGAATTTTTATTTGAATAAAATAATATAACAAGATAAAAAAGACGGTGTAGATTATAAATATAAAAAACGCAAAAAAAAAGAAAATAAAAGAAAAATGTGTAATGTTAACAAACCTATACAAGCGCATAAAATTTGTTGACAACGATGTGAAAAAGAAAAGAAAAATATACTGAAGTCCGGCTCTAACTAGCTATACATGTTAACAAATGCCTTAGTACAAAACACAATGAAGAACAAAAAAAAAAAACCTATTCAATAGAAAAGCAATCAAGGTCGCTCAACGACTATTATTAGTGTTTGAGAAATATTTTTTTGCGTTTTACTGTAGAAGAATGCCTATATGATTAAAATCATATTGATTATCAATTTTTTGAAAAGTATCATAAATTTCTTCGCTTGTAAGTCTCAGAAAGTCTCCCGTTAGTGATCCATCTAATTTAAAATTTGTTGGATCATAGGTGGATTGATAGTATTCCGATGAACAAGTGTATGAAGAATATGGTGGAATTAAACAGTCACTTTTAATATTCATTACTAGTTCGATATTTGATATATCGGATGAATTATTAGAATCTGTTAAATCAATACAAGTTGTCATTGGTTCACTTTTTAGTAAAACTATTGATTCTTTATTATCGTAAAAATTTGATTCGATCACAGGACATACTGCGTTCGTCATCACCGATAAATCTAAAAAATACTTCTACTTATGAATTCAAGAAAATAACAACAACAATTTATAATCCTACCTTGTGTAGAAGGTAATTGATCCCTAGAACTAGTACGTTTTGGCATTAGAATAACTCGTGAAGATGAGGAAATATTTTGTTTTTCAACATAATCTTCAAAAATGCTTCGTAATGAAGAACTAAAATAATAAATAAATTTTAATTATATACATAGGTTTTCAAAATTTTAATAAAATATTTAACTAACTCGATTAACTGTAGAATGAGACCATATTTCATTGCTTTCCGTCTACCTTCAAGTAACATGTGCATGTTACATAAAAACGTAAGACGATGACCCGTTTTTGAATAGAGATCAATTACACACATAGTTGAACAATGTCGTCTGTGAACTAAACAGATAAAAAGACAAAAAATATATATATAATCTCTATATATATCGAAAAACTAATAATAAAGATCAATACCACAATTTTTTCTTGCTTTCTCTAATATTCTAATATCATCTGTGACAACAATTCGGTTTAACGATGTTTCAATTAAATCCGAAACTGAATATTGGAGTGTAGTTTCAATACTAGAATAGAAATCAAAGAAAAATAATTTATTTTATTATAAAAACAATTTCTATGATTATTAAAATGTAATAAAAATAATATTTTTTCTATATTGTTTAGTATCCTAGTGTATTAATATTTCATACTTACCTTTCCGATACTTCTTTAACAATTAATCCATCGTTTACTGTTAATTTAAATATATGAGCACTATTAGGCATATTTGGTGTACTTGCTAATATGGATTGACAACGTGCAATAAATAGAGGTTCAGTACATTCACTAAATTGATGATAATGACCAGTCATTAAAATAGTCTAAACAAAAACAATAGAAAAAAGTATAAGATTTCATTGATGTATATAGATATAGATATAGATATAGATATATATTACTTTTGTTTCCATTTGTGTTCTGCTTGGTCGTTTTCCACGTGGCAAATGCCATGTACACAATACTTGTTGTTCATTTTCGAGACTCTGATTGGATAACATATTTTGAATTTGAATTTTATCATTTTTATCTACACAATCGTAAATATTTGTCATTTGTGGATATAATGAACGTACAGATTTTCTTAAATGATGTTCAACATCATCACTGATAACCACTACTCGTCCAGTATTAGTTAAAATTATAATAAAACCATTATTGTCCTAGAATAGAATTATTTTTTTTTCGATATTTTTTTGAATTTTATTTATGAACACTAGTAAATAACTCACGTGTGAATCACAATTGATACCATCCGATAAGTTACTATTTCCTTTGACAAAGAATAGAAACGATAATGATATGTATCTCTAATTATTTTCCTCTCTAACTTACTGTCATAAACATTTCCGTCTAAATATTTTGCTTTGATTAATCTGGCAAGAGTTAAACTTAGCGTATCATTTTTATTATATTTAGTGTTATTTTTTCCAGTATTATTTGTTGCATTTGTCTTGTCATTCGTTAAATACTGTCCGAGAGTTTCTAAAGCGATATTTGTTTCTTTTCGGCGTTTATACGGTGTTGTATCAGATGATAAAGATGAACGTGATCGCTAATAGTCCGAGAGAAGGATAGAAAATATTATTTTAAAAAATTTTTCTAATTAGATATAAAAATGCTATTTTTTTACCTTTACTGAGTTTCCCACCACATTTAACGCACTATCATCATCAAGAAACAAGTCGACTGAAGATGACAAATTTTTGTCATTAAAAAGAAAATTTTCAAAGCTTTTATATGAAAAATCGATCAACGACATATTTATATTTATATTTATCCAGTAAATAAGATCGTCCTGCGAGTAATTTGCACTGACCAGCAGTGAAACTAAATATGAATGTATGGAGCTTTGAAAGTAATTAACAAAATAATGTTTTTGTGTATTTGACTATAATAGTCAGGTATATATATATATATATATATTTATTCTATTTTTTTTATCTCTCTATAAATATTAGTCGACCATAATGATTTTTTTCTTTTTTATTAAAATAAAGGAGAAAAACAAGAGTATATGTTTGTATACCGAAATAAGATTGAGAACAGAAAAAAAAGTAAAAAAAAATAACATTTACGTGTTGACGATGTTTTTTTTCCTATCCCTCCTCCCTACCTAGCAATAATAATAAAAAATACTTGTACTTGAATCTTAGAAATATATGTGTCGTCAATAACCAAACTCAATAGGAGTTTCGAAACCATAATAATACAATGCAGTTTCATCGTATGTAAATGCTCTCTTCGCTCTTTGAAATAAAAAAATAAACGAAAAGAAAAGCTAAATATGAGTCATTCTATATTTGTTAAACAGTCATTTCGAATTTTAAGCAGTTCGTTTTGATGATGGTCGAAAATAACGTCATCGACAATGTTTCGTAAAATAATTGCTAAACAAATTTTTCTCTCACCTCAAACAATAGAACTAACATACATTTCATGCATACAATCTTTAAAAGAAATTGAAGTTTAGAGGTACAGATAAGAGTGATGTATAGCAAAGTTTAGATGTACAATGTTGTTTTTATTAAGGTGGATTTGCACCAATGATTCAATAAATATTAGTCTCTAATATAATCGCTAATATTTGCTAGCTTTTTTGTTAACAATATATGCCATGTTTTTCTAATGTTTCTTCAGTCTACGGTAATGGTTTGTCTAGAAAAATTGCTAATTTTTTTGTCTCATATCTTGACCTATCAGCAACTTACTAACAATCATTATGACTCGTTCTCACCTTTACCATTAAAGCGATTTTGATCATTGTTTTTTGTTCGTATTTACCATTTTCACTGAAGCGGATCTGATACTGTAAGACTTAGACTACACATACAAAAAATTTTGTCTTGTATTTCTTCATTATGACCGATCGAAAGCAAATATTACATCAATTAATTGTCATATGTGTATTAGACTGGAAGCAGTGTAAAATGCCCGATTACTAAGCCGATTGTATAAAATGAGGTCGTCAATCAAAACCCTCAACCGCTAAATAACTGATTTCTAATGTTCAGCAGTTTGTGTAAAATGGTATATGAATTTTCTTTGATAAGCTCATTTATTTTCTCCGATCTCGTTGAAGAAAAAATCATTGAGATCTTTAGTCGGTAGAATCAAAGGACAGTTGTGAAATAATAGTGATATAAACTAAATCAAAGAAGAATACCTACCGCAGCCTCGATTTAAGATATAAGAGAGAAATTAATTTTATTAAACTAAAGTAAAAATAAAATATCGGTTGAAATTTTGTTCTAAATATGTTTCAAATGTATAAGAGACAGGCAAAATAAAGTAGAAGGTGTAGTAGAAGAACTAAAATAGACGTGCTAGTAGAGCTGGCTGAAGTTGGACTTGATGAGTATCACTGTTCGTCTGTTGTTTGTGCTATTTCTATTCATAAATATTTTGTTCATTCGTTGTCTAATTTGTATGAACGAAATTTTATTAGCACGTAAAAATATACCAAACGATAGTATTTTTTCACCAATATAAAACCGTGTATCATGTTGACTGATATTCATCACGGTTGATCATACATGATAACAATAAATATATTTGTTGTTCAAAATTAATCATGGTAAAATAAAAACAAACAAACAGAAAACGCTCTTTCTCAAACGTAAGTCCTAGTCGCTCTTTTAGATTCTTATCCAGACTTCAAGTTTAGCCGATAAGTAAGCCGTCGGAGATTGCCTGTAGCTTAAGAACCACGGTAGATAGAGGCCTAGAACTTGCGCCAGATTATAGAACGACATGTATTCTATATCCACATGGATTTAGATCAGTATCTCACTATATAGATTTTTGGAATGGCAAGTTCAGACTTTTTCACTCGAAAAGTGCACCATGATAAACCCGTTCGGAAAATCAAATTCCTTCACTGATCGATGTTCCCGGTGTCCACTTTATGAAAGTGAAAACTGGAGATGGCTAGCTCTCTCCGTTCAAACATTATTAAAAAAAACATCGGACTACACTATATTTTGAAACAGATAGTAGTACAGATAGCAAGGGGAATAAAACTGATTTAAGGATTTTGAAGATTTTAAAGATTTCAAAAGATTTGGAGAGATTTTAGAGATTCAAATCAGTTTTGATTTGAAGATTTTAAAGATTTGGAATGATTTAAATTGATTTAAATTGATTTGAATCAACTTGATTTGAAAAATTTGGATTGATTCAAATAGTTTTCTCCCCCTTGACAGATAGTCAGATATTTGTTTTCCTATAAGATACTGTTGAATTTTAGTTTTAACTTTTTTTTCTTGTTTATTAGACTTCACACAACTACATTGTTGGTAAGGTTTAAAAATTCTAAATACTGCATAAATTTTGATAATTGTTATTGAAATGTTGAACATAATCACATGATTAATCAAAGGTACCTAATAATGTTAGACATCATACTAACGTTAAGAGTACGGAAATTATTTTATTTTAAGTTGAAGAACGTATAATAATTAAGTCATTTTGCAAATATGGATAATTTAATATTAAACGTTCTGCTAATTTATTTAAACAGCAACGATAGTTTCAATGTCCACATGATGGGGGACTCACACCCAGGTGACATTTCAATTTTATATTTCAATGAGGAAAAGAAGCTGTGATAATAATTAGACAATCATATCTGTCATACGTAATAGCACGTGACAGTACTCATTTTAGTTGGTGTGTTTATAACAATATATTAAATAATTACTTTCTTTGTCATCATATTGATTGTTATTTCATTTATGAAAACGGCAAACAATAAACAAAAAAATAATGAGCAACATAATATTTATTTTTCTTATCATCGGGAAAAAAATGGCTAGAGTTTGTGGATAATTATATTAAATGAACTATGACCAATATGAAAAATACGTTCAAAAACTTCGATGTTTTTGCCACTAAACTGATTATATATTTTTACATTACTGTATACCTAGATTATTACAACAATGATAAAAATTTGATCTTGTGTCTCTTTATGAAAATATATGCATCCAAAATGTTGTATACATAAAACGTAGCAATAATAGGCTTTGTCTCAAATAAGGTGATGTATTTTGGTTTAATTTTGTGAGAAAATCGACAACATGTGCGAAACAATGTAGACATTACAAATTTTATAATAAAAAATGTCGCCACTTGTTATTTGAATGAAAGAACAATAAACATTTTCAAAGTAATGTTTTATGTATACAACATTTTGAATTCGTATATTTTCATAAAGACTAGCTAATTACTAAAATAACGCGTTTGGACTAAAGCGTAAAAAACGCAATAAATGTTTAATATTTGATAGTTTTAACGAGTACTAATTCTTAACGTTAGTTTAGTGAATTTTTTAGTATTAAGTGAAAACAGCCTGAAAACCCTAATTTTCATAAAACTCGATTTTTACAGACTTTTGTATTGATTTTCAAAAACAAATATTGTTAAAAGATTCAGCGTTGTCGATTATCTATGTTTTATACGATTTTAAGACTATTCGAAATAATCATCGGGCACAAGTACTAGGACTCCAAGGAAAGCCTATACCGCTAAGTTCAGCATCATAGCTGGGATATATGGAAAAATCTACTATTAAATTCACAAAAGACGCTGTCGGGCTTCGTTAAGTTTCCTAGTAACACATATTGTAGAGCTTTTTCAGCGCAATTTTCCTGTATCAAATACGGGTTGGATCCTCTTTTACTTATAGGAAAAAAGGATCGAAACGGTCATGCAATCTTCGACTTCGGATACTGGCTTAATCCTTCAAACTTTATCCTATCTCTAGTTCAGATTTTGGAAAAGATTATATTTTTGGAAATGTTAATTCATTTGACACACTGTCGCAAAAATCACAATGAAAAAATTTTCTAGGACATTTCTAAGGCTTAGCTATATCGAGGGATGTGTACAAAGATTTTCCCTACAAACTTCGATTGAAAGTAACTTAAAAACGATGGGACAGATTTCGCTTAAAACTGGCACTCGTCCTTTATATAGGAGTGGGCTATGTATAACCAAACGGTGATTTTGTTTAACGGATTTCAGCAAGTTAAAAACTATTCTTACTTCTCCAAATATGTTCAAATTATCGTTTAAAGGAAATCAAGCTGATACAAGCACGTTAAAAAGTGATCTTTTAGATTAAACTCATGTACTACTTTAACAAGATATTCATGCATTTGAATTTATTAAACTTCGACGCGTAAAAACTCGTTAAATCTTAGGTAATCATATATCTAGCGAGATCTAACTAGTTATGACGTGTTATATTTGAAAAGCTGACATGTTCAAAGACAGTTTTATGATAATAAAATTTTTTTAATGTTTGTTCACCTGCGTTCAAATTATTTCATGGGCGATGTTTAGTACCTAAACGCTGCAATACTAATTAGTTTTATAAATCTTCAAGTCTATCATGAACTACTAATCAGATACGTCAAATTGTTCAATTACTACGTTTTATATTTACATGTAGAAAATCGAAAACTGCTCATATAATGATTGTTTTCATGAATTTCGAAGATGTAATAATATGTAAAAGTTTCGAAGCTTAAAAATATGTAAAAATTGGCAAAGAAGCACTTTCTTGCTATTGTTGAAAAATAATCAAAAAGTATCATCTCATCTATACTTAAAATAGAGCTTGAAACACATTTGTTCTAATGCCAAAGGATGAGTTTTGTTTTATTTCGGGTGAAACCTTTGCAATGTCTCGGACAGATAATGGTGCTTTAGCAACTGTTCTATGTCTTGTATATGATGACAACGTAGTGTTTGTCTCTCATGGCATTATCGAACTCTGTCTTTCTTTTAAATGTTGTTTTTTAACTTATTTGCCAACAAAAGGGCTTATTTTTCAATAATGCTCTCAGCCTTGATGAAAGCATTTTCTCCAAATTTGCTCATACAATTTTTTTGAAATGTTTTTTTCTAATGTTGCCTTGCCAGCTACTACTACACTTTCAGACAAAAGATCTCGCGTTTTGAACAACTTCAACTGTTGATTTGCAGAGTTACCAGAAAAATAAAATTCAGCAGCAGCTCCATGGAGATACACAAAACTTATTTATTCTCATTAAATTTCGATTTTTCATTTGAACTTTCTTTTTGTACTGTCATAATTCTAGAATATCATACATTGTGTCTAATTATTTGATAATATAATTAACGACCTGCTGGAATTTGTTTTGAATTATACGATATATTTGGATGGCTAGTAAATGTCAAAATAAGTACGATTTCCCATCGAATGTGTTTATGTATCGTTTATGTATATCTACTGATCAACGAAAGGAGGTGATCACGCCATGCATATACGTATAAAAAAGAAAAGAACTGAATCATCTGTACATAATACGTAAGAAAAACAACTCACTATTCCATCTACGGTCACGTTCTATCAATGTAATCGATCTTATGTAACTAGGGATGCATCGGCGGCAGTCTTAGCCGGTAGGATAGGTGTTAAATATATGAAGCAGTGCTTGGATCTCGAAATAAGGCTCAAGAAATTCTTTGATGAATTGGAATTTTATTCCAATTTAAATCTGCAACCGATAAACTACGCTAAAACGGAGGCACTGTGGTCAGCTAGAGCTATTATTAGCCCTGATATTGAAATCTTTTGTGGAGTGTGACGATTCTTTGTCACAACCTCTCTGTCCTGTATGTACTTCTTTCGGTAGGACTACTCTCTTTTGTTCTGTTCTATTCTTTGTCTGTTTCTGTTCTTTCCTCGCTTTGTTCTTTTTTGATTCTTATCTT